AAGAAGAAGTCATGGAAGAAGAAATCGTGGAAAGCAGCGATGGCCATCTGGAGTCTACTTCCTTAACTTTCCGGACTGCTGGTCGCGAAAGGCAAAAGCGGCTTCATGATCAGGACGACGTATCTCCAGTTGTGGAATCGAGGCCTACTTCCAGCTACAATCACAGCAAGCGACCACGGATCTCGAAAGGCAAAGAGAGGGCAGATGAAATCCCTTCAACACCGGAACATATCTATAATAGCCACCTGAACGTCGACGGAAAATTACCAGACCACTCAAATGCTCAAAACAAGAACCTCTTCGAAACTAATATTGAATATTTTCCCCCACCATCTCCATCGAAGGAACTCGATTCTTCTCCATCGCGCCAAGTTCTTTTCGAAGCCAATATAGATCATACACCTCCCTCTCAGAACAACGATGACGAAGATGCAACGCAATCTCAGAATGATTCACCACTCTCTCAGAACAGCAATGACGAAGAGGCAACGCAATCACTGACCGCTTCACAACTCAAAGTGATAGACGAGTTTTTCGATCGTTCCACGGCGCAGGGGTTCGACTTCGAAATTATTCTCCGAATGATGAAGATTACCACACTAGATACTGAACTTGCGGGAAAACTTCTTTTAGATTATGCGAATGGATTGGAAGTCCCGAAAGATGTACCTGGAGTCTGGACTGAAGAGGATGACATTGGAGTCATGAGCCAGGTACAATCTGGTGATTATAAGCGTACTCTTAAAAAACATGGCAAAATCAGATGCTTGAAGCGGAAAATGCACCTGAAAGAAGCAAATGACATGTAAACGGATCAAGTGGAGGGTGCGTAAGGAACATGCAGTTGCTATATGCAGAGCTGGGGCGGTTTGGCGATTTTAATACCCATGATAGCTTTCGTTCTCAATTTGGTGGGGTGTTGGTGCTTAGTTTCTGGTCTGGCTGGCAGGGATGGCTTAATTTACCAAATATAATCTGATTACTTCTCAAACACCAAAATAGTCTAGCCGAAGTTGTCGAGGTTGCCCGCCTGTCTACAATCAAACATAGGTGTACTACAGTATTATAGAACCTGTGAGTGTGATTTCACCGACAAGATTTCCAGACGATGAGCCTATCCAAACTTGTCTATACCCATTACCCGCTACAACAGATAACCACATGCGTGTGTTTCATTCAACAACTCTACATCCATCTACACAGCCACTCACTCAATGGGCACAACCTAGCCTTCAGTCTGCGATCTCATGTTACATTATCAGTCAGCCTGACCTAACATGAACGCCAGACGCTCAGAACAGCGTGTGGCTCTATGTTCATCGAATATGGGCCTCATGCTGTACGCTGCGCTAGTCGCTCTGTTTGCGATGCTGCTGTTACATCAAGTTTACGCTTCACCGAGCACGTCGTTTGTCGCAAGCATCCACAACGATTCTATTTTTGTCATTCTCTCACCTATCAAGTTGAGACCGATCATCATTGACGTTCTGGAGTACTTTTTGTTATTGTTGTCACGAGCAACCAGTATCAAACCTCCATCAGCATCTGAACTCCTCAGCTCGGGTCTCTCTATTCTCACACGAGAGAGCTTGGATAAATTGGTCTCTACCGCACACTGGGCAACAGACAAACTCTCCTCCTCCGAGATTTCTTACATGGTAACGGTCGCCATAACCTCCTTTCTCACCAAGTTCTTCCAAGTCGCATATCTACGGGTCTTCATCAGCACAGCCTCCCTGCTCCTTTCGGTCGTCTCAAACTTGGATTTTCCAACAGAGCACAACTCTCTCCGCGCAGCGAGACAGCAGTTCAAGTACAAAATATGCGCTTTTTGCTGTGTCATCTTCACCTCCATCGACTACATAGCATTTCACTTTGTCGGGATATTCGCCCTACGTGATGTGGCTCATGAGTGCTGGGGACTTGAAGGCAAAATAGATTGTAGCTCTTGGTTGGTGGTCGGCTGCAATACAGCGGGCGTAGCGATGGCAGCTGTTGGGTTCTATACGTCGGGAAGATTTATTTGGGATGGGGCAACGAATGTTTTAGAGAGTTGGCAGTTTGTTGAGGTTGCGCGTGAAGATGAGGCAGGCAGGTCGAGGTTTGATCCTGGTGCAATGGATAGGGCGGTCAATGCTATGAAGCAAAGGGAAATGTTCATGAAGGATGAGAGGGAAGAACAGGTAAAGGAAGAGGCCTTGGGGGAAATAATTCGCCTGTATGAAGCGGATGAGACGCAGGTGAATGATACCAATCAACCAAAGGAGACCCCCGACAGCGGATTGTAAGATTGGGTCTTAGCATACGGATAAAATATGGCAGTAAACACTTGCTATTCCTATTACAATATCAAGGGCAGAATAGAGTTGGCCGTCACCACATAACATGCAAGGACCGATTGCGTAGAGAATGCGATGTGCCCCTTAAATAAACGCCTGTATTTTTCCTTTGGTAATGGTCAGTGGGGTCGAATCAACTGTTGCTTTGTTAGCAGTGAACCAGTTAGGGTTGCCGCGTGAAGACTCCTCGTGGAGAGAGTATTGTGGTTGTGGTGAAGCAAGTATCAGATGCGTCAAACTTTAGCAGGGTGGAGCAAGACGCGGTGATAAGAAGGGACGACGGGATCAAAGAGATGGGTGGTAAAAAACGAGGTGATGTGATGAGAAGAGACTGGGAGTTGGTGAGAAACCGGGGAGGTGGCAAGAAATGAGAGCTGCACTGAGAAACACATGGTTCACGTTACATCCACTTCATATCTACTGCGAGACTAACGCTTGGATGCTCGACTCAGAAATTGAATTCGGTCTTTATTATGTAAGTCTTCTTGTAAAGCCTTTTGAAATTCAGGTTTCTACGGCATCTGGCTCGGCAGGCTAATATTATATCATCCAGCTCCCTCTTGGCCAACCCCTTCTTTCCACCATCGATCCCGTCTCGCACAATATTCATATGCATGCTCCAGTTAATCACGTTAATCAAGGTAGTCTTACTCCTGTTATCTGCCTACAATAATATAGTGAATGAAATGACCCCAATTGGCAGTAGAACAGTCGTAAATACAATGAATCTTCAAGAGGTCGTTTTCACTCTCCCTTCGTAGCGATTCAGACAGCCTGAATAATACAATAAATGACGAAAAAAATGCAAAAAGAAATATCTGAATATACACTTGTGTATTCAGATCTTAAGAAAACCCATTTTTTGGATTTTACTTATCGTCTCGAGCTGCGTTCGAACCGAGCACTTGCTGTTCCGCAGGCAGACGTTCCCATATCCGCCATGAGGCTTCTTGGGGTCGAGGGTGATGGGGCTATTGGGGTATATAAGCGTTGGTTCCGGATTGCTGGTGGGTGGGGGTTGGGGGTGAGTGATTGAAGTGGTGGGAATTGGGGTGAGTGACTGAAGGGTGGAAGCTTGGGAATAGGAACTGCACAGAGGCGAGAAGCGTAGATAACCAAAAGATAAACATGTATTCGGCATAATTGCCAGGTTCAAGCTCTATGTTACGCTAATAACAATCCGCTGTTACCATCAGATATCGACCCATGCCAAACGAATTGTCACGCATCAAGAACGATGGTATCCGCACCACAAATAACATCATCCTCCGCTCTACCAGCATTAAAAGAATCCACCAACTACACTGACCTCCTATGGAGACTTATCAGCACTATCCATAACTTGGACATGGATATTCTTACCACTTCGGCTCATCTCTCTCGAGAGCAGGACTCTCCAATGCATTTGCATCTCCGAAAGGGTTATCATCGTCTTCTTCCTCAACGGAATCATAGTTATCCACAACTGGTGGTGCGGCAGGGCGAGGGGGTGCCACAGGTGCAGGGGCTGCGGAAGCTAGGCTAAGTTTTAAACCAGCAAGTTCCGCGGCTGCCCCGTCGACAGCTTTCCCCTTTTCTTGGAGCACTTTGAAAATCTGTCAGCGCAGTTCAATGTATCCAGCACAGATTGCTTACTTCGGTACGCATGTGCTTGCTCAGCGAGTTCGTCATCGGAGTCACTGTCTGCATCGATGGAGCTATCCAGCTGCTCAAATGTCATGAGCGCGGTGACGAGTTGGTCGTTGGCTTGGATGAGAGCTCCAAGCCATTCTTCGGCTTCGATATTTTGAATCTTCACATATTATGAGCAATCAAGTCAGTACAAGGAGAGGTTACTTACATAGCGAAGAATGTGCCTTCGGAGTAACTTGCAGCGCTCAAATTGAGCAACGCAAGCTTGGTTCTCCGAGACACGTTCCTCCTCTCGATTAATCCTCTGCAAGGCGTTGAGGAGGTTGATAGAAGCAACTGAGGACTCAGCAATGTTGGTTTTCATGTTGGCTTTCTCTGCCTCGAGGTTAAAAGGTCCGCTCTTGCTCTTCGACCCCTTCTTCGACTTCTTCGGCTTTGTTGGTGTTGTTGATCCAAATAGGCTGCTGCTGATACCAGAGCTGCTTGGCTTGGATTTATGGCTCTTGGGTGCCGCTCCGGGAGTCGGTGAAGGAGCTGTGGAACGGCTGGCAGCTTGCTGAGCCTCTTCATCCTCTTCATCTTCGAATGGGTCCCGCTCAGTTTCCTTTAGCACTTTGGATCTATCTTGAGTGACTACCTGTTTCCGTTTTGGAAGTTCCTTTGTTATGTCAGCACCACGGTTGCCAAAATGTCGATGTGTGCTGTACCTTGTTAAGGCGAGCAATCCGTTCCAGTCCGGGCGTGCTCTTATAAGTCTGCCCCCAACCAGCGAATAAAACCTGGCATCTAGCCCGTACTTCTTTCTCTGACATGGGCGAGGTCGCACAAACTCTTAATCTCTCAAGGAGAGGTTCGTCGACAAACGCTCGCTGAAACCGGGACCCTGCATTTTGCATGAGGCCATCAAGGATGGTAAGTGCTCGGAGTTGGCGATGGACGTTGCCATACTTTAGTTTCTTCCGGATGGCTCGCGCGGCTTCCGCAGGTCCTGTTGCTTGCAGCCCAATTGCTTCAACCAGATCCGGGATCCCGCTCAGGTCATCCTCCTCGAACTGCTCACTTGTGAGGCGCTCGATGGCGACCGTAACCGAGGAGTATGGTTTTTTCTACAGGCAGCGTTTCTTGTCAGAACCATACTATTGTACATGACTCTTCATACTTCAGTCTACCGCGTGGCCGTAGGTATCACTAGATATAGGAGATCCCGCGGGGCAGATGGCATATCTGAAAACCCCGCGTCCACGCGTCTACCGTCGTAGAGTCCTCCATCACGTCATCTGTATTCCAATGAAAAGGGATGAGCTTACAGAGCTAAACATTGTCGATAATAATGTAGTATCTAACGCTTGTTAAAGATTAGCCGGGCCCAATTCGAGCTTCAAACAAAGCACGTGGGTTGACCCCCTCAGCATGCACAGTCGGACTTTACTAACCACTGCGGTAAAACGAGCAATATAACGCTGCTTTTCAGGATTTCAAACACAGCTCGAGACGCAGAGAAGATAGAGACGGTAGTGGTGGTACCTGTGAGGTGATGCGGTTGTTGTTCTTTGATCGATATGCTCTCCGCCACTATCGTCTTGCTATATCGGAAGGGGCAATGAACCCTTGTTTATGAGCCGTGGTAACGTGCCACTTGGATAATTGCCGCACAGCTAACAAGGATCCTCCCTCGGTCCGATGCAGGAGGTGTTTGAGATGAAGGCTATTGATTATAACTACCGGCGACTTTGTGTTAAGGTTCCGGCACGTATCTCGCGCATCACATACACCCCGCACTAAGTCGTCACCCTGCTGGGATGTCGATCGATAAGGCCCAAATAGGCTAGACCAGTCCTAGGCTGTAGCGGGGTAGCTTCGCCCTGACCTAGCATCTCCGACGTCAAGTTCCAATCATTAAACTTTCCAGAGCACATCACAACTGTATTATTGTATGATTCACGGCGTAAAAGTCGTAGGATTCGCAATTGTTGAATTTATTTAACCTTGTGTGTATAATATTGAAGCTTCATTGCCCAAGTACCCCCATGAAAAGTTGACTTGACAATGCCATCAAGGTACCATGGATGGGATGAGACAGCTGTCAGAACTCCAACTTCCCTTGAAAATGACCGCCAGTTGAATGGGTTGAGGCTCTATTCTGCCAAATACTACCGCATAATATTAATGGCGGTTTAGGTATTTGGAGCCTGATGGCTCACCTCCCTCTTATCGAGCGCCATCGTTCACCCCCGTCAACCAGCCTGTGCAATCGGGCTGGGGAAAGAATAGCGATGCACTTTACGATATCCCTCAGGACGATGATCCATTGCCTGTTTCTCAACTTCCCCAAAAACGAAAGCGGCAGTCAACGGTCTCTACTCGAAACAAAAGCGCGCCTGCGGTCCATATGAAGAAACCACGGCGTAAAGACGATAGCCCGCTTTCAAAAAGATTCGCATATATACCTACACCCGACAAGCACAATTTATCACAGCCATCCTTGCCGCATGGTGCGAAGAAATCTGCCTCGCGAAGAACGAACTCAGCTCTGTCAAAGCAGACCAAAGTTTTCCCCAACACAAGCATCAGCAAACCAAATGCACAACGACCATATGACGAGGCACATCTCAAGAAGAGCACAGAATTCACAATAAATGCACCTTCTACACTTGACAAGATTGCTCAGGCTGGGCATATTGGGCTCGGGCAAACCACCCTGGAAAAACTGGCCGCGTTTAGGTTCAAAACACCTGCTGTCAATGCGGAATTGGACCAAGCTACCTTGGACCAGGCCATGTCATTGAACCGACCCACAGACACGGCGAATTTAGAGACACACTTATTTGCCCACGAGCAAAGTATAAGGAATGGAAAAAATGACAATTATACTTTGCCAGCGCCCGAGGACGCTCTGTCGCCGGTCGAGCATGAAGTATACGCAGACGTGTCTCACCAAACACCTCATGCACTTGCTACTTCGGGAGAGCCCGAAGATGATTTTGACGATCTTTTTGCCGAAAGCGCCAATTTCTCTTGCTCCACGGAAGCTCGAGCTTATGTCAAAAATTATGGTAGTGTTAGCAACAGCATTCCGCAGCAAGACCATTCAGAATCTTTCGAAGTCAGTTCCAGTATCTACAGAGATTCCGCTTTCGGTACTGAAATGAACAATTCATCAAATATCAGGAGGCATGAAGCTTCTTGCGAAGGTTGGGATGAAGGTTTGGACGACGAAGATTTCGCTCAGTTCAATATCGACGATCTTGCCTTACCCAATATACTCCCAACTCCTCGTACGCTGCCTCACAAGGCCTCCGTCCATTTTCCTGCTGAGCATGGAAGCGATGATTTTGATGACGGCGTTGCTGATGACGATTTGATGGAAATTATGGCGGAACATGAGAACGTCCATAACTATGCTCGACATCAAGCGACCACATCTCCTGACAACGGCGTCAAATCAAGTGCTCGGTTCAAGAATGCCTCCCGATCCTCTTCGAGGCTGCAAAGCACCCATGATGAATATTTCATGGATGATACAGATGAAGCCGAACTGGCTAACCTGGCAGAACAAGATAATCCGGTAATCGTCGAGACCCATTCATCCCCAAGCAACTGGACTGAATCCGACGTGAGATCCCGGGATAGGGAAGTATATGATGAGAAACTTACCTATTCTTCTCCGTCGATCAAGCACAGTGACAATATAATTAACAGCAATCAGCTACGAGTCCAGCCCAGCGTCGAGTCATTAGCAGAGCCAGAAGACTGGTCCTTTCTCAATCACAATCCCGCTGTGCCAAAGAACATTGAGTCCCTTCGCAATAACGCTCCACAAACCGCACTCCCAATGACCCCAGGGCCATCTGGTCCCAGCTCAGCGAACGATGACAGCCACGAGTATATCCCCCTCACACCTTTCGCGCGCTCTCCATTTCCAGAAAAAGTCTCCAACTGTTCTGTCATCCCAGGTCTCACAACTTGCACAATACTTCGCACCTGCTTTCGCATTGGGGAATGCATACGAGCGGGTTCCTTCTGCAACCGCCTTAACCAAGACGCCATCATTGAGCTTTTTTGCCGCGTAACCTTCTCATCTCGAGAAGATGGGACGCACAAGCAGATTTTCCAGTTTGCGGATGTTTTCCACAACAGCCCTCCTTTCGTGAATGGTGTTTTGGCGAATTACCTGGTATCAGCGTTGCAGGAGAGAGAAAGTAGGGAGCTTTTGACGGGGAATTGTGAAGAGCCCGGGATGGTGAGATGTTTGGGGAGGCTGAAGGCACAGGTGGGAGGAAACGGGTGGATGTTGCATGTGGACAACATTCGCAAGTCTGACTGGGAGGAAGTGAGGTGGACAAGAAGAATTGTGGGTGTTCAGGAGGCGAGGAAAGACCAGGAGTGATTTGAGACCAAAATTGTTAAAATTGCTAGGTCGGTGACGGATTGGAGGATGATTTTGCGCGATTTTTGCTATTTTGAACAATTTGCTATGGCAGGAGTCCAGACTAATGTTCTTAGCTCATACTAACTATCAAAGCAGATATAGAGGAAGCAGGCTTGAAAATTGGAGTTATTTGCAGCGTATAGCTTGCCATGCGGCCCAGAGACAGATTAGATACAAGTGATAGCATATAGATAGCCTCAACAACTCATATCGTATTCAAACCCACTGACCTGTCGATTCCTCGCTCCCATCCCCAGAAGTTCCCACTCGAGTGACCATTCCTATTCGACTGTCAGCAAACCCCAACGCACCACCCTTCGCCCACATTCCTATTCAGCAAAACTCTACAGCCTCCAACAGCAGCCTCCAACAGCAGGCTTCACATTGGCCTCCGGTTGGAGACCGCATCCAACACTCCGAAACACCCATATCGCACAACCACACCCCCAGCGCCGGCATCGCCACCGGAACCATCTCCCCGCTCGAACCGATGTTGGAGGTTGCAACACAGGCGACACCCTTCACGTATACCCGCTTCTCAACCGCGGTTGACCTCATCTACTCCATACCCTCGGCTCTGAGCGTCGCGCCGGTCATGGCACCTAAACCGGAGCTTTATCTCAAGGCTGTGCGACATGAGATGTGCCAAGAGAGGCCGTTAGGTGGTAAGGCTTGCGATTGAGCGGTAGCGTCGTATTGTGGTGTAAATGTTCCAGGCGTGGCGGCAAAGGGGCGGCTATGGGGGGCAGAGACGTGGGGTGTCGGTTGGGGGGCGGGTAATTAGGGGTATTTAACCGCTGCTGGGAGGGCATATGGATATTTTGATATGAGAAAAAAATAAGCCAGCTTCTTACTTGATGATGATATGAGTAATACTGTATTAGCGTATTGCGATCTAAACTTTTGAGTTCGTAGTTATTCGAAAGTTGGCATTCCTTGAGCCCAAACCACAAGCCCAAACCACACTAAGCCCGCCGCTGGGCCAATTGCAACAAAGCACAAATGGAATATGCGATATTGTAGGAAAGGTAATTGTGATGCAATTTGCTTGAAGTAGTCCAGCTTCATCCAAAAGAAAGATAGCTCTAGACCCCAGAAAATCTCCGAGTGGCCATCCGACGACGACGAGAACAGTCGGTGGCGAGAACGTCTAGCGACAGTGAGATGGCCAGTGGTGGTGAGAATACGACGGTAGAGAGATGCGATAGTTCTTGTCTCGACGGGCTGCAGTTGCAGCAAGGACCTCCTTGAGGCTCTTCTCTTTCAAGGCCCCTAGGCGAAGAGCAGATATGAGGATCCATTTGATCACGCATAAATGGTTGTCCTCTCATGACTGTAGGCGCCGAAAGAAGACTACCCGGACCTTCTTGTCGGATTTCCGTCATATGTTAGTTATTATATAATATTTAGTTGTGTGCAACTTACCCCATCCTCTTTTCGTTTCAAATCAACGAGGTTCTCAAGACTTTTCTCGTTGATGAGCTCTATCACAACGTCATCGTAGAATGTAAACAGATATTTCTCATCGCCCAGTCTATCTAGTATTACGTCGCCTATACGAAAAGACAGTGCTGAGAGCAGGACGTTCCTTAATGCTCTCTGGATAACTTTATACCACTTGGAACGCCAGTTCTTAGCTGAAGTGTAACATCGGCATAGTCGCTCCAGCCGAATATATTCCCTTTGGACGTATGTATCACTCCTTCAACCCCGCATAAGTGCAGTCAGCTCTTCATATTAATAATAATCTCTAGACGTTCTCTTATGTAAATTTTCAGCAAATGGTACTCTGCATTAACGGTAAGAGTTATGTGAGGCTGAGACATTGAAAGGCTAATCACAAACCATATATAAAATATCAAGCAAATTCTAATGCCGAGTCAGACTCTTAGAGGAACTCAAGGAAAATTTCTCGGAGACTCCACATTGGCTAACAGTATTTAGAAGCAATATCCCATTGCTACTGTTGTATGAGCATTCCTACAACTGCATTATGTTGGGGTGAGTCAAAAATAAAATGTTGGCTGGGTTACTATCTGTTCATTTATGCAAATATAGATTATCACATTTCTCCGAAACTAATTATTAGATTTATTATTTAAATCTGGTGAATAAAATAAGTAAATTAAATGGGAATAATAATAATAAGCCCACAGCTCCCATTAATTTCGTATAATTATAATCAAACACGGAGGATCTGTTAGGCATTCCATGTTGTGGCTTCACTTGATGCACTGACATCTCATCATCACAGCGGGCGGGACGGAGAGCAGATGCAGGGACAACTACGACAACCACAGAACTCCAGCCCCCCCGTCACCGCCATTTCAATTGGAACGTTGATGGAGCTGTAACACCCAATATCTCCGCCTATCGGGCATCTTATCGGCATCGCGCCTTTCAACGGGTATCTTCTGCGGTATCCAAGCGTCCCGCTGCCCCGAATTTAACCTTCCTATCCGGGCCGCGAAATCGTCAGCAAGCAAAAAGGAAATAAGGGAAGGATCACGTCGTCTGATACCTCCTGGGAGGTACCCACCCTGCAACGTTGCTCCCCTGCCGCTCAGTCCTTCCCTCTCCCCCCATCCAGCACAGGAAGGAAGCTCCCATCAAACCAAACCAGCAGACCAAAACCAACTCCAAACCTCCCCCGGGTCCACTCCGGGGAAGCTTCCAAGCCCAATTTTCCGACCAACGCAGCCCCCCAGAAACGCTCCAGACCCCCCAACCTCCCCCCAACGCACGCACCTCCCCCCCAATTTTCCACCTGCCCAGCACCTTCCAAACCTTCTAGCTCCCCCCCAGCACCTCTTCGCTGCATCTCCCGGGTCCGCCTGCCCAACGCTCGTGCCCTCACACATCGCGACAGTAGCACCGAAGGATTCGCCCAGACCCGCGACAGCGAATCGGTGACTTTACACCTGGTGGCTGATGGCCGGATTACGAAAACAGTATTGCTTGCGTGCGGCAGAGAGACGAGGGGGTGGTGGTGGCTTGCCGTTGCGTGATCAATAAGCCATGCGTCTCTATCTATCCCCCTCCCTCCGCCCTCACTCCGGCCAGCGGGCGCCGCCACATGCTCGCGGACCGGAATCCTCCGATCCGTGCCACGGCGCGGCCCTGCGCCCACGTGTTGCGAGGCTGCGCCGGCGCCGGCCTATCTGGTGGACGGACACCCTTGCCGGCCGTGCGCGACGAATGGGTTGCATTGCTGCTGACCAGGGGGATGTGCAGACGGATTCCCGGATCGGGGATCTCGGAGAGATAAGTGGGGGGACGTGGGATTATGGCGGCGGTACTCTGGAATGTAACCATACGGAGGGGAGATAGTGCTTGGCATGGGTGGTTTGGCTGGTCGGAGAGTTACTCCGTTACAGATGGAGAGCGCGGAGCGGGAAGAGTTGTTCCGGAGGGGCCATGCATGGTATGCAGACGTTTGCCGCGAGGCGCTTAAGCGCGTGCTTTTCTTAAGTTTTTGGAAGTTTTGAAGATGGTGTCGTACTAACAATAGCGGTGAAGAAGAATAGAGTGCTTGTCTCACCGTTAGGCTTCGGGTCTTATGCGGACGGAAAAATGGGAAGGTGGGCCGGCGACGATTTTTGAGGGTGTGGAAGAAGAGCCCGGTGGTCTGGTTCAGCGTACAGGCTGAATGCAAGGAGGTGTCGGGTGGATGAATTAGTAGAGCCAAGAGCCTAGGGAGCTCTGGGATAAATGGAAAGAAGACTCGGAATGTTTCTAGAAAGATGGGGAGAGTAGATTGTGGAGATGGTGGAGACGTGAAGGGATGGGGCTTTTTGATTGCGAAGAAAGAAAGCCCATGCATGACCTTACCTTCCTCCGCCTTCCTGTCCCGGACCATGCCATGTGGCAGGTAGGAGCAATATATTGCTCCCAAGACAAGCAGCCCTCTCGAGCATCGCAATCATAGGAATGCCCACATGAGCAACGATCCCATCCAAATTAATCCAGGCCATTTAATCCCAGACCCCAAACGTCCCAAAGTAGTAACCCATTTTCGAAATATCCGTCTCTCCAACATTCTCCAAATAAACCCAAAGGAGCACTCCTTCAAACCTGGCCCCTGGCCCACACAACCTGGTCAACGCATGGTCCACGACGCCGTTCATCTCATCTGAGCGCCGCCGCCCCCAGCTCCAACAGTATCACCCGAGCCCTAATCTCGTAAAATAGGCACAACGTGATGCGGCGAGATTTCATGCGTTGAGAGCGGGAGGCGATGCAGCGGCCCGGCGATGCGCTCAGATTGGATGCGGCTCGCGAAACGGTGGTGATGCGGGTGATGCGGTAGCGTAGCAGCGTAGCAGTTGGCTTGGTGGCATGAGAGAGCCTAGCTATTGCACGGCTAGGGGTGTGAGGTGGTATTCTGACAAGCTGGGCAGTTGGTGCCGTGGATCGCCGAGAGCCCTGTGTTGCAGATTCTGCAGCGGTCGCTTCAGAGCTCCCATTCATTGAGCCGTGGGATCTCTGTCCTTCTGTGCCGAGATCATCACCACTGTCTCCTTTTCCATGCCCTCATACTTCCCAAACACTGCACATCACGCTTCCCAGTACACACAGATAGATGAAAGGGAAAAGCTCCCACCTCCCGTGACATGACCCTTAATCTACCTGGTCCGTCTAAAAGCTTGGTCGACAAAGGTGTTAATTTAGCCGCCGCCGCCACGTGAGTCGGAGAATACAGTATGAGGGTCCAACAACGTCTTTTCAAAGCTTGGCTGCGACTGCGGAGGGATGCCCCGAGACGGATTGGTGGTCGGAACTTCCAACTCAGAGGTTATGTTGGGGAAGGGAGAGACGCCGCGCGTTTGTGGTTAGGTAGGTGCTATGGACGTGCAAAGTACGCATCTGGAAGGACGTCCCTGGAGAAACCCAGGCCGAGATCGAAAGTAGGTGGCTTGTTGGTAGATTGATTGATCGTACAACAAGCCTCATGCCACGATAATTATCCGAAGAGGAAGGCCGGCTGCATTTAAAAAATAAAATAAAATCAATTCAGGTAATTATAATTTCCCATCAATTAACGAATTTAATTCAATTTTCTTTTCGGGCCATTTAATTCCCATCACCAACCTATTATCCTCCCATCACAGTCACTATCACATCACGCGTTCTCCCCCTCTAGGATCTTTACGCAAATCGCACCCCCATCTGTGCTCCACTTGTGTCGCCGCGTGACAATTCCTCCTTGCTTCCTCCCTTTCCCCGTACTTTCGATCGGACGGGGCGGCGCTCGCGTTCGGTCCGTCCGTGGGCCCCCAATTTCCCCCACACACCAGTAGAGTAACACGTACACGTACGGGATCAAATTGCTCAATCCAACCAACATCGGCAAAACACAAGACCAGAGCGTGGCGGGCGCGACCCGTGCCGTCGCTCAAACCCCGTCCGCTATTCGTCCCGTATCATTCTATTCGTTCCGCAATATATAGCATGTATTATGTATTGTACATACTCTACAAATACAGTAATACAGTCAGTACTTGAGGGAAATGTCGCCATCACGCGCCGTCCCTGTGCTGCGACTCCGCAGTGGCGAGCCCTTCGCGCCCTGCATTCTGGGATCAGACACCAGACAGACATGATCCCAGCGCCTTCCAAGTCGAGTTTGTCAGGCCCTGTCTCTGTGCGCTGTCGCAGTGCAGCGCACCAACGCAAGGCAGACGTCGCTGGGCGTGCGGGGTGATAGGGTGGGAACGCTGGAGTGGCATGCAATGGCATTGAGCGCACAGGGCGAGAATGCACCGAGGGTCTCCTCTTTGACGCCGCTGTGATGGTCAGGTGGTGGGTTGTGAGACGCTGGCTTGGAGGGGCTATCTGTGCGTGGGGTGACGCTCAGCCATACGCTCAGCCTTACCTGCGTTTTGAACTGTGGCAGTGACATGTTCTGGTCGCTATTTTCTCTATTTTGGGGGGGACCGTGGGTGGCCGTGGGTTGGCCGTGGGTTGTCGTGGGGTAAAATGTATACAAGGTAAGGAGGAGGTAAGATTACAAGGTCGTTGGGCGACAGATCAATGGAGGAGTTTCCGAATGCAGTAATTGTGTTTATTGGGAATAATAATCGCATTGGTTGACTCATGTTTTGCTTTTTTACGACTGGATAATTTATTTTGGGGGCTTAGATATTGTCGTCGTTGTTATTTGTTATTATTCGTTATTGACAAAATGTGGTTTCAGTGTTGGGAGTCGTGGCTGTGACGCTGAGAGGGCGCGACGCTCGCTGATGCCACAGCGCTGGGTCTGCGCTTGGGAGGTGACTCGCGTACAGCGAGCTTCAGATTGGACAGGCTTTGTCAACGTGACGACGCTGGCGTGTCAGAAGGAGCCATCGTCACAATCCCGATCACCTCCTTTCACATTCCTCATTCCATCTCCTCTTCCTGACCCCCTTTCCCCTTTCTCCCCCATCACCAATCCAGGCCCCCATCATCTGTCGTCACCAACAAAGAAAAACGCCCGCATGAATGGCAGCATTCCTCGCATCACCCCCCTCGGCGATCCATCGGGAAAATAACACGTCCCTCGCGCTCCTCACGAGGCATCTAGATCCTGTATATCCAACTCCCAAATATACCCCCCCATCCATCGCTTCCTACCCCAACATATTCTATTTCTGGCCCCAATCGCGGAACTTTACCCATTCTGCCGGCCGCAATCGTACAGCTGACTGCCGTGCGTGGGCTCCCTGCATTCATTTCAGCCCCCAACCCCAACCCCAGCCCACGATACCCTCCATCGCCCAGACGCGATGCTATGCGTGCGATGACTTGCGCCCCAGCAGCAGCGGCCCAGCGGAGACACCGCTTCGTCTGGTGCTGGCTTACCTGACATCCGCTCGCGTGTCCTTTCTCTACGATCAGATTATCCCGAGCCTGTCGCCGCCATGCCATGTAGGCGTCGCGTGCCTTCTGCTGTTGATCCTAATCCCCAGGCAGCAGACGTCGAGCTGCCAGCGCAGCAGCCGCCGCTCACACGACGTCCCCAGCCTGGCTACGGAAGGGACGCGCCGCAGCCTCGGCGCCTCGAATGCCACCCCGGCGCTGATGCTCCGGATGCTAACAGGCAGTCAAGTGAGGGCGTGGGCAAGATGGAAGCGCCCAGCGACCGGGAACGCGCACATCAGACGTTGATGAATGGATGGTCGGAATAGAGTTGCGAGGTGATGGCGCGCGATGGCCGAGGCGGCGGCGCCTCCATCTACCCGTCTGACCTCAGCGCTTCGTGTCGTGGTGCGCCTTGTCTGCAGAGCTGACTCTTATCATCGTTGGGCAAGTAGAGGGGATGTAGAGGCGTGTACTGCGGCGTACCTGCGAGGGTGAAGGTTGGTGCCCGAATGGGGAGATTCGAGGGTATTATCGAGTTATTATCGCAGCCCCAACTCATATACGGATGTGGTAATCATAAAGTAATCCGTACAGTCGCACAGCAGCATCATCATCCTCACTAATCCTCCTTACATCCTCCCCACCCTTCTCACTCTCATCTCTCACATTCCAGCGTACTCTAAATTCCCCGAACTCGTATCCTTCTAGATAAACCCCACAAACCGATTATTCATTATCACTCCTCCGCCATCAGCGCACTCACACTGTCATCGTGCCCCACCACACACCACACACCCACTTCCCTCCCTCCCGCACCTGTCAAACCAACCCCACGCTCGCTTACCCGCTAGGCGCTCACACCACCCACCACCACCACCACACCAACACCCACCATCGCCGAAGGGGGGACCCCGCGACAACGGGTGCCAGCGCACAGTGTCTCACGTAGGCGCGAGGAAGCGCGTGACCTGCTTCCCGGTGGCGGGCCGGGGAGACGGGATGTGTTGGCGCCGTGGGTGGTGGCTTGAGGGTGTGTGATGGTGTGTGATGGTGTGTGGTGTGCTTTGTGTGAGGTTGTGGTGTGGTGTAAGGAGGAGGAGGAGGTGTACTGTTTGGGAAGGGGGATGGGGGTGAGCGGTTGCGTGCTGGGCGGACGGGAGGGAGGACGGGAGTGATATGATATGTTGATATGTGAGGAGAGGGGTGGGGGGTGTGATGGGGGGTGGTGATACTAGTTTGGGTGACGATGTTTGCGGGCTTGATGGGGGGATTCCAAATGAGAAGGTGGAAAGGAGAAAGGAGTATGGGGGGGTGTGAAGGAGAAAAGGGTGACGGGAAGGAAGGAAGGGGGTGGATGGATATAAATTTGAATAATAAAAATAATATATATATATATATTCGAATATGCGTTTGTATTTTTATTATTTCCGAGATATTGGGATTGTATTGTAAGACTTACTCGTTGTATTTAGGGGTTTCTTTAGTTTCTTTTTTGGGAGTCTTCTTATTCTCAGAACCTGGGTGGTAGATGGATGATAAACGGTGGGGGTTCAACGACTTACTCACTCTATACGTCGTGGTGACGAGAAGAGGAGGACTCACATCTCACGCCTCACATTGCTTATCCTGCACCACAAACCCCAAGTCACTCCCCCCATCAACCACTCACCCTCCCCCAACACAGCACGCTCCCCAAAACCTCCCTTCCACAAACCCCCCAAGCGACCAACACCCAGCCCACGTACAACCCCCCCAATCCCCCTCCGTCCTACTTACAGTACCACAGCATCCCCCCCTTCCTCTCGCAACCAGCTGAACACCCACCTGATCCCCGCGGCCCTATCGGCACCCCGCCGCCTCCCCTCACCGTCCCACCAGTATCCCCGCCGCAGGCAGACAGCCCGCCGCCGCGCAGCCGTCGCGATCGCCGCCACTGGGATGTCGTGGTACCTTACCTTTCTTACCGTTGCGTGCAGGTGCGTACGAGTCATAGGGGGGGATTCAGCTGGCTTTGTAAGGGGTGCAGGACGTTTGGGGAGGATCGTACATACAGTACTGTGCTGTATAGAGTTACTGTGCTGTACAAGCGTACGGGGTGCAGTGGTGGTGCAGTGATGCTGAATCGTAAACCTGCGTTTCGGCGGCCAGATGGGCCCTTTTTCTCCACTTCACCCCTTTCCCCAGCTGCTGCAGTTGATGGGAGTGTCGGTATTATGTGCGTATGTACATCAATATCCATCCATCCATCTATGCATACCCAGTAAACCGGATCCTCCCCATCATCCCCCATCTCCACCCCCAGTGCATCAATCACCCCCCCCTTTCCCTCGCATCCCCCAGCTACTCCCTATCCAGTAACTAGCATTGCAGTGTCGAAACAGAGACAAACCAAGATGGGACGACTACAAAAAGTCCAGATGAGACATGCACACACACACACACCACCACCGATGCGAGCGACTCATCGCCTGCACCACACCCCGTCCCTCCCTCCCGCAGCCCCCACGCCGGGACCTGTCTCCCGTCTCCGCGCTGGAAAGCAATTGGCCGCGCACCTCCGTGCGACCGCCCAGTCGGGTGCGGAGGGGGTTATTCCTTGCGCTGTGTGGTCGGGGAGATGGACCCGGGTGTTTGGGCGGCGTGGGGGAGGGAGAGTGATTGATCGGTTTGGGGGGGAGTACGATGGCAGATGGTGTGATGATGGACGAGTTTACGATATGGGAATACGCTACTGTACTGTACTGTATGTGATGTGATGTGCTGGTTATGTGATGTGCTGTGCGGCACTGGAAGCGGATATGAAGCGTCTCAGCTCAGATCGATCGTACTGTAGCGGTGCGGATAGCGACAGCTCATCTACATACCGTAGTAGACAGTCTCGCACGCATCGGAAACTCGCATCACAGCCGCATCACAGCTGGCTTTACTGTTCTGGACCATACCACCACCACCACCACCACCACCCTACCGCACCGCCCAGTACACTTCCCACCAACCTCCCATCCCTCATCGGGCTCACAATCTCGGCACATCTGACACCTCGCAAACTGACTCTTTCCCCCTTCCCTATCCCATCCGACCGCGGAACCAGGAACCGCGACCGCGAACCCCTACCCAATCCAATCCAATACCCACACCAGCAACCAGGGGTCCATCAAGCACGTGTTCCCGCCACCCCCCCACCGCGACAGAACCCCGTGACCACCGCGTACCCTTGTTCGTCAATGCGCCGAGATGTCCAATGAGGTGCGTGAGTGTGGGGCGGCAAAGGCCCGTTTGGGGAGGCGGACGTTATGACGCCACAGGGGCGGCGATGTGGGGAGGGAGTGAGGCGGAGGGAGGGAAAGGGGATGGGGATGGGGATGGAGTCGTGTTTTTTTTTTTTTTGTCACGAGAGAAAGGGGAGGGAGAATTTTTGAGGGTAGGTGGATGGGGAGTAGAGCACGTCTTGAAGCACACCATGCTGCCTAATTCCCCTCTGCTAATTCCCCTAATTCTCCCCAACTCAACTCCCTCATCCACGCTCAGTAGTATACCCCACACGAGAAAGGGGTAAGTAAACAACCCATCCCACCACCTGACCTCCCCCCCTTCTGCCGCCATCCCTCCCTCGCACGTACGCAACTCCGCGAGACACCAGCCGCCCCCCTCCGCCACCAGCCCACACACACACACCCTCGCCCATCCTCCGAACCCAAAGATCTCTCACGCAGGGGGGCGAAGCCCACCGTCCGGATTCCTGGCCCTAGCACGGACACCGCGGAGATCGGGGAGTGTGGCCGCGGTGGCCGTGGCGGGCGAGGAGGCCCGATTGGGGCGGCGTGTGTGTGTTTGTGTGTGTGGGGTTGGCTGTATGGGATGGTGGGTATGGTGGTAGTAGGGTAGTAGGGGGTTCCGGGGGCGTGGGAATTGGGTAGATGGATGGGTGGTGTGTGAGATTAGGGTGGTGGTTAATTGTTAATTGTTAATTGGGTTATTACCTTTTTTGCTTTTTTGGGAAGGAGGGGGAGGGGGTGATTGGAATTACGCCTTTGGGGATAGATAGATGTTGACGAGGGATGAAGTTGACGACGACGGGCGGGGAGGCGAGTCGTGTGTGCTGCGTCCGGGCGGCGAGACATTGCCATTAATTGCCTATTCCCAATTGCGCATTGCCGTGTGTTTACGAATTGCCGTGATTTTCACGGTTATAAGATACGGCAGTATGAATACGGCATAGTTTGCCATGGGATCATGTGAAGAGTTGCCGCGGCGCGGCGGTGGTGGCGAAGAAGGCCGGGGGACGCGAGGCGGCGGGGAATGGCGGACTGACTGACTGGTCATGCACTGATGAATTGAGGTTCCTGCCGCGGTACGGTTCAATTATGGTATAGATGGTATTATGCTGTTTCTGTTATTCTGGGGAAGAACATGCACGCTGCGCAGGGGAAAGCTTGGTTTGCTTTGGGTGAGTCGTGCAAGGCAGGGCGGATGGGGGATGGGAGAGCCCGGCGCAGGAGAGTGTACGTGTATGCATGCAGATTGCAGATTGCAGATTGCAGATTGCAGATTGGAGATTGATATACACGCATATGTCAGTGAGTAGTCGAGTATAGGATTTTGGTTAGAGTACACGCATTTGGGTTGTCAGTTGGCTGGTGGTGGTTGTACTTTACTCTGCTCTGTGGTGGTGTGTGTGTGTGATGTGTGTGCCGGACGAGACAAAGACAAACGCGGTAGGAACTTCCCACCCACGCAGGACCCCGAGATTTGGGGATTTGGGGAAAAAGATCGGCCGCGCGATGTTATGTACACCGATTTCGTACTCGTAACAGTACATCCGCACACACCTACTCACCATGTGTCTGCAAAGTTACTTTACACCTGTTTTACCCGTCGGAGTACTTCCACCCCAGTACCGACGATACGTACCTTTTCTTTTTTGCCCTGTTCCACCTGGCCCAATGGGCTGGACGTTTGCGGGGCCGAGGGAAGTTCCAGATGGAGCGCTAGCGGCTGTATGTGACGTTCCGAGGCTCTATGTATCTTTTTGGTTTTGGTGTGGCAGAAGAATGGCAGGGAAGAGCGGTCGGATGGGTCCGGGAGGGTTTCCGGGAGATGACGGTCAATCGTTAATTGATTCAGGCACCACAACCAAGAGACAGACAAACGCCTAGCACACACATACACACCTAGCCACCAGCAGTGGGAAAAGATACATACACACACGCACATACACGGACACCGTGATCTTCTCTCCCCTCTCCCCTCTCCCCTCTCTCCCCCTTCCCCGAAAGGATCCTTTTTCTAGTGCGTATATGGGATTCTCCGCCTGGGCTTCTTTCTAGTAGGTTGGCATTCGCCCTGGATGTGGGACTCTTGTGACGTTAAGGGAGGGGGGTTAGAGTGGTTAGAGTGGTTAGAGTGGTCGGAGTGGTTCCGGGTACGCGTTTTTTTGTTTTTTTGCTTTTTTGGGGATTCCCCACTGAGGCCTTTTTTTGGGCTGGTAGGTTGTCCACTGCCACGTTCACCTCCACCCACCTCGCTGCTACTCCGAAAATGTAGACCCGTGGTGGAGATGGGAGGGGGAGGGAGGGGAAGAGAAGGTGATAAGGAGGATTTTCAGGATGTACCGTAGGGAGTGTTACTGCACTGGATGGATGCGGAGAGAGAGAGAGAGGGCTGGACGGTCGCGTAGTATGACAGGCGCAACGTCTCATCCGAATCATGGCATAG